ATATTATAAATAAAGATAAATATTTATAATATTATAAATAATATTATAACAACATTATAATTACTGTTCCGGCTACATATGAGGATAATAAGAAACTTAGTATCAGTTGAAGAAGTAGCGCAGCGGCTAAGGTAATAGACTATATAAAAACCTGGAGGTATCTGAAGTTCTCGAGTTCGCATTCGACCAGTACTTAATAAATTTTCAGATGTGGAAATAGTGAGAAATAGAAGAGCTAAATTTCATTTAAAATCAAATAAATCAGAGATTTATTTCTGTATAAGCCTGTAATAAGCCTTACATTCTACAAATAAATTTTCTAGTCTTTTTTCTCAGTGTACTGTCTTACAAGTAAACCTACGGAAATGTCACTCTCCGATTTTTCTGAAATTTGGATATGTTATAATACATGATAAAGTAAAGAACACGTATTTTTTTTTAGCGGCGGAAAAACATATTTAGGGTATGAAATGAGCCTCCCAAAATAGGGGGTAAAAAGGAAAAATTGACATGATTCATTGTTAGAACGCTTATGTACAGGTAACGAAAGATTTTACCTGTACGTTACCTGTACATAAGCGTTCTAACAATGAATCGTTTCTGACACTTACAGAAAATAGTGAGAGGCAAGTGGACTCACTCTAATCAAGCACCCCGAAGAGATGTATATCCGACCGTGCGACCTCCGCGCGGTGCATCTCGGGTGACGCTAACGCCGGCGGTTATAAACAATTAATATTTTTAACATGTTTCATTCACTTCACATAACTAACAATAAATGTCATAAGTTAATTTATTGTATTTTGAAAGTCGCATGTCGAGTTACTGCCTATTCAAGTAATTTTTACAGTTTTCGTTCGCCATATTGGATCCGCCATATTGATTTCAGATTCGGATTCAACGACTTCAAAAACCAATATATTAAAAAGATCGAACAGTTCAGAAATATAGTTTTACAAGATGTTTCATGTGCAATGTCAAACGAGCGCGGCAATATAGGGGTCATTTACCCCCTAAATATTTATATAAAAAAAAAACAAAAAATACATGTTCCTTAATTAGCTTTCCTTTTAAAGTTTTAATAGATTTCACTTCGATTAGATCAAAACTGATTTTTTGTAGCAAAAAATTGGTCTTAGGGGTACTTTAGGGGTAGTTGGCCCCCTAATTTTCACTCCCCTCCAACATACCTAGGCCGATTTTCGTTTTCTATCAAAAGATACTTTCATACCAAAAATCATTAAGATCGCTTCACTGATCTCAAAGATATCGCAATTTTTCCATTTTACCCCCTATTTTGGGAGGCTTGTTTCATACCCTAAATATGTTTTTCCGCCGCTAAAAAAAAATACGTGTCCCTTACTTTTTCATGTATTATAACATATCCAAATTTCAGAAAAATCGGAGAGTGACACTTCCGTAGGTTTACTTGTTAGTGCTACAGTGATATACCTCAACTATATTCCTCACACAGAGATCGTTTTAGCTGCAACTTTGATTTTCGTTTTTATCAAACGCAGCAATTCATATTTAGTTACGAGGCTTAAATTTTCCTGCACATAATGCTATAATATTGCTGCTAAAAATTTTACGTACTAGAGACAATTTTCTCAGCTACAAAAAACAACGATACATTTTGACTGTAATATTTAGAATTCTAGCTGGACCAGCAAAACATTTTTTTGAGTGTAATTAAATGGCATATGTACTATTAAATGGTGTACTTTCACATGCACACGGTGTAAAACGAATACAGACCTGTGATCGAATAGTTTGGTTAGTGTTAGTTTGTTTATGCCTATATCATAATAACCAATCTCAAGTTTTATGTTTTATTTAAAAGCCATTCTGTATTAGTTGCAAATGTAAGTTACGTTGAAATGAAAGGGAAAATTGCTATTATTGAAAAATAATTCAACATAAATCAAAATTAATCATAGCTTTCAGGAAGAAATTTAATATAATATTGTGAAATATAAGGAAAGGTAATGAAAGATAATGAATATTGTTGAAAAATAACATATAAAAGTTTTCAATATTCAATATAATGAAATTAATTGATTGTTACTGAAAATTATTGTAATTATTCATGAAAACTTGATGAAGTAAGGATCTAAGTCATTTGAAAAATTATTGAAAACTCTTGTAATATTTTGTTGATTTTTGCGAAAAATTGTTGATATATATTGAGTTGTACTGAATAAATGGTGAATTGTATTGAAGAATACAATTTGCTGCAATTTGCTGATTTTTCCAAAAATTTCATTCTTACAATTAGTGAAATATTAAGAGTAAGGGAAATTGAATTAAATTATCATTGAATATTACTATACTGTGTTGTGAAACTTGTGAAATATGTCATTACATTTTTTAAACGACATAAGAGTATATTCTAAATATGATCCAAGATATCGTTACATTACAGCATTGGCTCATCACTAGTTCCCGTACGATCATTGAAGTCAAGCAGTGAACAGCATGGTTATTTAAAGATAAGTGGTCGCTTGACACGTGATCGAAACCACGCGAGACTTACGAATAAGTGAAACGACACAAAATATGAAATACTATTATAGTCCTTTTTTTATTATTTAGACAGAATAATCATATCAATTATCTGAACCATACTAATGAATAAATTGTTGGAATTTAACAAAAAATAAGGATTTAATTAAAGAACCTACATAACGACAGAATCTGTGCGTAATCTGCCGCCAATCTACCGTCAGAGTCTGTCAGTAGGCTCTGCGCGCAATCTGCTGCCAATCTGATGTCAGAGTCTGTTAGCAAACCCTGTCAGCAGTCTGACGGCAGATTGGGAACGCATATGTCCATGGATCTGTCGACAGATCCATAGACATCTGCGTCCTCAATCTGCCGTTAGACAGACTGGCGGCAGATTGCGCTCAGAGCCTGTCGACAGACTCTGACGGCAGATGCGCGTAGATTCTGTCGTTTCGTAGGTTCTTCAATTAAATTTTTGGTAGAAAATTTTCTCATAATTTTTCATAATTATTTATAGAATAAGCGCCTTCTCATAAATACTCGTAAAATATAATGAAAAAAAAGTTTTTCTGTATTATTTTTTCATAATTTTTAAGATTTTTTCTGGTGAGATTCGAACTTGAACAGAAGACATCTTTTGAATAATCGTCCGTCGCTTTAGACACTACGCCAATTCCTCACTTGATAAAAAGTGCTTTGTATTGCCCATTTAAAAGTTAAGGAAGAAAAATCTTAGAGTTTGTTCGCCTTTTAAACCGCAAAATATCGGCGAAACCGTTTAGCGTATAAATAATGTAAGAGAGACCGGTACGATAATTCGAAATTAATTTTCTATCAAGGACTATATAGAAAATTATTGCAATAAAACAGCAGATAATGACATTTTTCCATCATGTTAATAAAATACTGTACTTTTACATATGCAAATTAATTTGATTTTACATATGTGAATTAATTTGATCGTCTCGTTCAGATTGTATTAAGTTTTATCAAAATCGAAGCATGATATGTTTTCAAATAAACTATCACAAAAATTCTGTAAAAGTTATTTACATAGCGAGACTAATACTTTATTCGGTGCTGCTACCTTCAGTATTTATTGCATGACGGTTAAATCATTCAGATTTAATGACATAATAACATTAAAAAAAATAATAATATGAGAAATTGTATGAAAAATTATGAGAACAATTTTTACCAGGGATGGTATATGTACGTCTTTAAATGGCCATTTAACCGTTGTATTATACTTGTACTCTTTATTTCTCTATTATTGTTGCTTTTTTTATAAAGAATGTTTAATACAATTTTAAAAAGTAAAAATTGTTTTTTATTGTGTACATGCGTACAATTATTGCACAATATAATTATTTTGACTCCTCTGCAGCAGTTTTACATGGTGTGTATGTGAAAATACCCCATTTAATAACGTACATTTGGCCCTTGATAGAATTAAATAGCTTATCTAGGAAACAGAATCTGTACGCAATCTGTCGTCAATCTGTCGTCAAAGTCTGTCGACAGACTCTGCGAGCAGTCTGTCACCAATCTGTCGTCAGAACAGATTCTGTGTACAGTCTGCTGCCATTCTGTCTACAGACACTGTTGATAAACTCTGCGTAAAATCTGCGCATGTTTGGCTATCTGGGTACTGGGGTATTATACAGGGTGAATATTATATACCGGAACACCTGAATATCTCGAAAACAAAGCGTTGTATAAAAAAATGTTAAATACAAAAGTTGTAGGGTTTAAAAAGATCTATTTTATGATATTAGCAGTTTGACCTTGAGTTGCGTCATAAAGATCAGGTCAAGGTCACAATGATGTTTTTAAATGGATACCCCCATTTTTTATTGTATATTCTTGTAGCTTATCTCGAGAGCTTTCCAAAACACTATACTTAAGTATTTTTTCGTTAAGTACTTTTCGAGTTAAGAGGCTTCAAAGTTACGCTCTTTAGCATTAGCGCGCGGCCGATTAAGGCAAGAGGAAAATCATATCCGGCCGATTAAGGTAAGCTAAGGCAGAGAAAAACGTAAACACAAGCGCGGTAAACGAGAGCTGCCCTTGCGTTTACGTTTTTTAGGCCATCAGCCTTACGCTATTTACTATTAATACGAGCGCGCGTTCGTGCTCGTCACTACGGTATCCACGCGCGCTAATGCTAAAGAGCGTAACTTTGAAGCCTCTTAACTCGAAAAGTACTTAACGAAAAAATACTTAAGTATAGTGTTTTGGAAAGCTCTCGAGATAAGCTACAAGAATATACAATAAAAAATGGGGGTATCCATTTAAAAACATCATTGTGACCTTGACCTGATCTTTATGACGCAACTCAAGGTCAAACTGCTAATATCATAAAATAGATCTTTTTAAACCCTACAACTTTTGTATTTAACATTTTTTTATACAACGCTTTGTTTTCGAGATATTCAGGTGTTGCGGTATATAATATTCACCCTGTAGTTACATTTAGGTTTGTGCGTTCTTACCTTGCAAATATCAATAATGAAGAGATTGTAGGAAAATATTTCTCTTTGTAATCTTGTCTCTGTGCATCGATTATTAAAGATGCTGCTTGTTGTGGTGAATAATATGTTAAACCATATCTGTTGCAGAATAAAAATGATGTTATAAACACTTGAAAAATAACTAAGAAAAAATAAATACGACCGACGATAACATATTCTAGCTAACAACGTCGAAATGACGTAAAAATTACATGGTTTTTATGTCGATGATGTAATGTGACCTAAATGAAACGTAATTTTGACGTTATTATAGATAATAAAATAATACGACATTTTTATTACGTCAAAAAGACGAATTGCCAATGTTCAATATGACCCAGCTAACAAAGTAACATCACATGACGTTTTAATAACGTCATAATGACGTCTTTAAATGTTAGCTGGGGAGTGTATACCAATCAAAAGATGCATGCAAGAAAATGCTGTATAGCGCTACTATGGCATTCTATCCTTGTTGTAAATCTGAAAAATGATAATGATGAAACGACGTGATGTTAATAATGTGCTCCATAAAAACGTCCTAAATTACATCGTCTTTAATGGTTATTGCACATTAAATGACAGGTTACATTTAAAAGGATCTATTCTCTTCTTTTAACCCTCATACTTCACCATAATTCACATAGCTGGCACATTGGGCCGTTTGAGGTCCTTACCATTAAAATACTTGTTGCGTGAAAGCTATTGATTTTTTCACTAAAAAAAATTCCAAAATAGTTTTCAAATATTGACTTAAAAGATATCATAGGTTATTTTGATAAAATGTAATATTAAATATAAAAAAAATTCGAGAACTTAAAAAGAACGAAAAAATGACTATTTTTACTAAATAATTCATAACTCTTCCATTTTTTCATATTAGGAGTTAAAAATTTAACTTGACACTCTTGAGATATAACACTTTAAGGAAAGAAATAGTTTAGATAGTGGCTATTTCAAAAAAGGTATTTATTTGTAGAGTTGAAAAAACAAATTTTAGCCAAAAATGTACTACTTATTTTTTCAAAGTATACTTGTTTATTTATCAGATATATGAGTGAATTTTACTTGATTAATGTACAAAAATTATCTTCACTATCTTCCTCGAGTAAGAGGGTTCCTTGGACAAAAAATAGATGATGGCACAAACATCATTCTCGTACTATAGGGGGGAATAAATTGGAGCTGAATCAAACTGAATTAAGCTGAGGTTTTTGGTACCCCAGTATGCCAGCTAAAGATTAAATAAAATATTTGTTTTCGTACGTGGATATACCATATGTATACAATACGAAGCGTTTCTCACGAAAAATGACAGTGGCGCAATAAGTAAGGTAAACGACTTAAGAACCAGAGGTCTCAGATTCGAATCTCGGTAATGTAGTAAGCAGATTTTCTAAGTACAATTTAACTTGAATTAAATAGCATGTGAAATAATAAAGTGGAAAATTTAAGAAAAATTCAGGAAAAAAGAAAAATATATATAAATGTATATATTTTAATAAATATTTTTCTAATATTTATTATAAATATATTTATGATATATTGAATCTCAAGTCACAAAAATATTTATAAAATATTTTGGTAAATATTTATAAAATATTCAAATAAATCTTATAAATATTTTATGTTGTCTGGGTAATAACGTCCTCAAAACGTCTAAATTACATCATTTTTACTTCATGTATCGACGTCAGTATGACGTAGCAAAAGTGACGTCAATGGGTTGCGACATTAGCACGTCACAAGTACGTTAAAATGACGTTCCATTCAGGTTTTTAATGACGTCTGCAGGCCAAAAAAATCACGTCATTTCGATGTCTTCTTGTTAGCTGAGATACGTTATTGCACAAATAGCACAGAACGTTCTAAGGACGTCCATTTTATGTCCATTTTACGTCCGCACATCCATGGACATGCAATGGACATCCATAAAATATCCGATTTTGGACATCCGTTAATGTTTATAATTTAAACGTCCATATCTGATCTTAGACATAAATATCTTAAGTATAAAATTCAACTATAGACATGTTGAGAATGCGCCCTATCAACGCTACACATAATTCTATCTCCAGACAACAATGTCACGTCATTTTCACGTCGATAAATGGTGATTATCAGTCCTAGACGTTCTCTACCAATAACTGACGTTTAAAAAATGTAATTATTTTAACGTGATAATACCGTCATTTAAAGACTATAATACGTCTATAATACGTTTTTGAGAGGTCATTTTTAGTCAGATGTTTGATAAGCAAAGAACATGACAAATGTTTACCTAATGTTTATTTATATCAACTGTGGTTTATGTAACAGATTATTATTTATATACGTTGTTATTTATTTTTTATGTACTTGCATATCAAGCATTTAACTCTTAGGAATAAACCTTATAGAACTAGTTCTACCATTTTTTACTCATGAGCATTGAATCGTTGCAATTAATTATTCAGTTAGTAGAATGATGTTCAAAGATATGTTAATGAGAAATTATTGACCCAGATAGCACAGAGATAAATAGAAGTTCTGATAGAGAATTCATTTTAAAAAATAAGGTGGATCTTTCCTTTTTTAAATTGTATTCTTTATAGACACTCAAAATGTTTATAGTTTTTTATGACGGTCTATTTAATAACAGTTAACAATAAAAAAATATTTATAAAACATTTTTTTAAAATAAATAAAATCCTCTTTAAAAAGAGGCATGTAAGAGATTTAATTGTTGCCGTTTCTCCGTGATGCTGATTGGCTGTGCGTTACGGCCGATTTCGTTTCGCGCACGGTTGTTATCGCAGTGGAATCAAGTGACATTTTGCGCGTACGAGAATGGGGTTATAATGAGATTATATTTTTAATGTATAATAGTTTCAAAAGTTACGAAGTGTGTTTGCCGTGATAATTTTGAAGAAGAACTATGGAGTTTTCAGATAAGTATTGGTAAATGCATAAAAATATATAACGATGAAAATCTTAAATACTTTGTGTCGTTTTTATATTTTTTATGGTTAAATTAAATAATAAAAATATAAAAAAGAAAAAAAGAAGAAGAAAAAAAGAGAAAAAGAAAAGAATATGTGAGAAGAAATGAAAAGAAGACAGAGAAATGAAGATAAATGATAAGTTGGTAAAAAACTATAAGAGAGCGAGATGGAAAGACAAGAGGAATGTATGAGTGAGTAAAAGAATGAATGAATAAAAGGATAGATAATAAATAAATAAATTTTTTTGTCTGTACCGCTGATAAAGAAATATTACTTTATATAATATATTAGGATATAGAACTAGGATACTTTATGTTGTTTGTACTTTTATTATTTTTAGTTAAACAAGGCAAGAAGAAAGAATAAAGAAAGAAAGTACAGAAAGGGAAAAAAAGAAAAATATAAGGACAGAAGGTCCCATATAGTACAAATCTCTAAAAGACTTCTTCCAAAAGAGAAGAAGTTCCAAAAGAGTTCCCAAGTCCTCCAGAACACTTTTAGGATTCTTTAAGAAGTCTTTTAGAGATTTGTGCTTTATGTAATAGTATAGACAGATAAATAACAGAAAAATAGAAACGAAGCAAGAATATAGAAAATAGAGAGATGTAACCCTCAGGAAAAAAAACTTTTGGAAAGTTATAGTTTTTGACAGTTACTGTACAAACATTTACAGTTACTGTTGATATTGGAAAGTTCTGTGCAATCACTTTTATTTTCTTTTTCTCCTCTCCAATTTTTTTCGTCTTTTTTCTTTTTCTTCCTTTCTTTTTCTTTCTACTTTTAGCTTTTTAGTTAAAAAAGGTAAAAAAGATACACAAAGCATCCAAGTTCTTTTTGTACAAAACATTTTGGTTAAAATATACCCAATCAAACTCATTTTTATTCTCTCTAATTCTTACTCATTCTCCCTCATTCTTCTTAATACTTTCCCATTCTCCCTCATTCTTCTCTCTTATTCTTACTCATTCTCTCCCATTTTCTCTCATTCTGTCTCATTCTCTCCCATTCTCTCTTCTATTCTCTTCAAACTCATTCTTATTCTCACTCTTTCTTCCTCATTCTCTTGATTGTCGGTGATAGTTATTGCCACCTATCAGTATCTGTCAGTTTGATAGTTTTCTGAATTTATTGGAAAATGACAAGTTTCAGAAGTACTATTGGTCTACAGTTTGTCGGAGATATAAAGTTATTATAGTTTTAAAGAGTCTTGTCTCTGATAATTACTTTAACAGTATTTTTTCATGAAAAAAGTTAGGAAAATAGGTCACTTTTTAAAAGTAATTAAAATAAGAAAGAATGGGAAAAAATGCAAGTGAATGAGAAAGAATGAGAGCGCATGAAAGAGAATAAGGGAGAATGGGAAAGAATGAGAAAGGATAGTAGAAAATTAAAGTAACTGAAAGAGTACAGCAAGTAAAGAAAGTACAGAAAGCATGAAGAAAAAGGGAAAATATAAGGAGAGAAGACAGTACAGACAGGTAGAAGTAACAGAAAATAGAAACAAAATAAGAAGATAGAAAATATAGAGATGCAAGATAGTAAAATAGGAAAGGTTACTTTTTAAAAGTAAAAAAGTAGATATAATGGTGAAAGAAAGAGAGAAATATGTAGAGAGAGGAAGTAATATAAAAAATTTATATATAAATTATTATAACTTATATATAAATTTTACATTTATATATAAAAATGTATAAGTATATAAATTATTATATATATATTTATATTAAATCTTATTTTTTTCTTGTTATATTTCTCTTTTTCTCTTATTACTAAGGAAAAATTAGAGAGAATTAGCAAAAATAAAAAAGAATGAAAGAGAATGAAACAGAATAAGGGAGAATGAGAGAGAATAGGAGAGAATGAAAAAGAGTAGTAGAAAATTAGAATGACTGAAAGAGTATGAGGGAGAATGAGATAGAATAGGAGAGAATGGTAAAGAATGAGAGAGAGTAAAGAAGAATTAGAGAGAATAAGAGAGAATGGCGATGAATAAAGGAGAATGAAAGGATATAGGAGAGAATGCGAGAATATTAAGGAGAATGAGAGAAAATGAGGAAGAATGAGTGAGAATGAGGAAGAAATTGAGAATAAGAATGAGTTTGAAGAGAATGGAAGAGAGAATGGTAGAGAATGAGACAGAATGAGAGAAAATGGGAGAGAATGAATAAGAATAAGAGAGAAGAATGAGGGAGAATGGAAAAGTATTAAGAAGAATGAGGGAGAATAAGTAAGAATTCGAGAGAATAATAATGAGTTTAATTGGATATATTTTAACCAAAATGTTTTGTACAAAAAGAACTTGGTTGCTTTGTGTGTCCTTTTTACTTTTTATAACTAAAAAGATAAAAGTAGAAAGAAAAAGAAAGGAAGAAAAAGAAAAAAGACGAAAAAAATTGGAGAGGAGACAAAGAAAATAAAAGTAAATAATAGGAAGTTGAAGCATAAGAGGTCGAGATAGAGAAAAACAGGAAAGATATACAAATAAAATAAGAAAATAAAAAAATGAATAAATAATAGGACATGTTGCTTGTTATTATTATTGTTATTATCATTTTTTGTTATTTATAGATACACACATTCTTAAATAAGAGTCTAGCCATATGGCAATTTTGCTTTAATACACGAAATTTTTTGTATATATTATATTACTGTGTTAATTACAACATATATAGCCAAAATGTAAGACGTTTATATCGATCGAAGAAGTGATGTGGTGTCTACAGACTCATAATTCAGAAGTGTCTCATCAGGGTCCATGTTCTCACAACAGTACCAGTGAAAATTTTTAAATGTGATGTAACATTAAAAACCAAGAAATCTAAAATTTTCAAGTAAAATCAGCAAACGCTGTGACATTTACGAATAGTTTCTGTTAGAAAATAGAACCGAAAAAGGATATTCCGACATGTCATTTTTATATCTCTTTATGACGTCATTTTTATATCTCTTTATGACGTCATTTTCACATTTTATTATGACGTCAGTGAGTTGTAACTTATTCCCGTTATTTTTACGTCATTATTACATGATTATAAAAGAATAATTGACGTCAGGAATGACCAAAAATTGACGCGAAAATCACGTCACGTTGCTGCCTGGGATAGACGTCCAAAATAGGTACAGAAACGATCTTATTTCGGACATTTTATGAATACCCAAAGTTGTGTCCAATGTACATGTACTATGAACGTATTTCGGATAAGAAACGAATTTGTTTTGGACATTTTTTGGGTTGTCCTATATCTAGAAACAGATATCTGATGAACGTCCATCGGATGTCCATATGCTATCTGAGTAACAAATTTCCGAATGATCATTTCAACTTAACTCATTTAAGTCCTCGCTAACGATAAAGTAAGGAATAAAATTGATTTATTTAACAACTATCTACAAATTAAAAATATCTTCTCTTTTTATAGTAATATGAGTGTGAAATTAAAAAAATACACTACTATAATAAACTATATTACTTTCATCAAATATATTAATATATAAAACAAATAAATTATTTTAAAAACATCTTACTGCTTGCCCTTGTATGTAAATTGTTCGTCAAACGTTATCGTTAACTTACCTTATTCTTAAGTTTTTAATCAAATTTGTAGTCACGAAACACGGGAAAATCGTGGTCGTTTTAACACAAGACTTTCCTTTATGTAGTTCGTCGGCAATAGATTCCATAAGAACTGTACAGAATGTTTGAAACAATAAGTACCAATGCATGTATATATGTAAAATGTACGAAATTGAATAGAAAAATCCTCTATCACTTTACGCGCCGTCAAGAATCACGCGTGTAAAGCTGACTCAATACAGAAGCTCTAATATAATGCGTATGAAGCTGAATTAATACAGGATGCTTAACATAACCACCATAAATAAAATGCGCCGTTTACTATTTGTAACGTTTTTCTACCTCTTACTGCCAACTAATACTAATTGTTCCTAGTAAACAGTCAATAAATCTAAGATATGTTTTCTCAAGATACAGTGTTTATTTCACCACTGATTTACTAATATTTTTAAAATTAATATCTCAATAATTACTGTGGTGTGCAAAATGATAAAAGATTCTTTTGTTTAGTTTTATTTTGCATAGTTTTATTTTTTTACACACAAGTGTTAATGCGTATTGCATTAGACATCCTGTATTAATATGACAACTTATATGCGACACATATAATACGGAATTGAGAAAAACAGTTATAAATAAAAACAAAGTATAGATTGTGATATTCCAATCACATTTTAAATGGATATGTGGACGGTATAAATTCAACATAAAATTACATATCACCAAAAGGTTTGAAAACAAGAGGAGAGTTGAAATTATACCGGTATTTTAAATCGTACCTCATTAATTATATTTGGATTTAAAAATGTTTTTAACACGCACAAAGTAAGATAATCTGAATTGTTTATCTATATTTTTATTATGTATATTCTTTACTTTTAGTTCGATGTTAGATTGTTAGATGCCGTTAGTTAGACATTAGACATTATTTATTTTTAATAATAATAAAGAAATTAATGAGATACGATTTAGGTACAATTTCGGTAACATTCCCCTAAATTGAATAACCGCTTTAACCTTTATTCATATTCTCAAATTAACTAGCGCAAAATTAGTACTAGTGTTAAAATTGTTAAATTTAAAACAAATATTATATATATATATATATATATATATATATATATATATATACAGGGTGAGTCATTTTAATCGAACCAGGCAAATATCTCGAAAAATATGGAAGATACGGAAAAATATTTCAAACAAAAGTTGTATGGTTCGGAGCAGGACATAAGATGGTGCAATTTGGCTTGATCCTGGATAGTCGTTTGAAAGTCACGTGAAGGTCACTTTCAATTTCTTAAATGGAAATCTCCATTTTTCATTGCATATTCTTATAACTTACCTCGAGAGTTTTACAAAACACTATAATAAAGTATTGTTTCATTAAGTACTTTTCGAGTTATAAGACTTGAAAGTTACAATACCGCCAGCATTAGCATTATCCAAGATGTATCACGCGGAGGTTGCCCGGTCGGATTTACACCTCTGTGCGTGTTATTTTTATTTCTACATAAAAATGAATTTTGTCAAATGGTTGGGGCGCACACGCATATGCCTTCTCCCTGTGTGCACATTCTCTCCACTCGACTCTCGCGCGATACTCGTCCTTAAACGTTTCACTAACAAGCAAGCAAAACGTTACATTAGTTACCTCGTTATAGACGTGTCACTTTAGGTGTACAAAAATTAAAAAAAGAGTATTAAAATTAACACTTTGTTTCCTTAATAATAAACATGACTGATTATTCACTTAGTAAAATTGTCGACATGATAATTGAATATGGAAGGGCCAATGAAAACTACAGACAATGTGCTGGTCAGTATGCTCTACGGTATCCAGATCGTCGATGTCCCAATCATACCACAATAATGAAAGTTATTAATAGAGCTGAGGAAGGTACATTATGTCACAAATGTAGAAAGAAATGTTTAACTGATGCTAATGATTTGAATACAGCTATTTTAGGGATGGTAGTAACAAAACCTCAGATTGGTCAACGTACAATCAGCCGAGAACTCAATGTTTCTCAGTCAACTATCCGGCGAATTTTAAGAGCGAATAATTTTCACGTTTATCATATTCAACGAGTTCAGGCACTTACTGAAAATAAAAAAACAAAAACGCGTCGAATTTTATCATTGGGGATTGGAAAAATTAGAAGAAGATCCGACTTTTTTTGATAAGATTTTATTTACCGACGAATCAACATTTCAGAATACTGTAGAATTGAATCGTCATAATTGCCACTTTTATTTAGATATTATTCCATTTTGGATTCGTCATGTAGATCGTCAGCATCAGTGGAAAGTAAATGTTTGGTATGGCATTTTGAATGGCTAGGTTATTGGACCCTATTTCTTTGATAATAATATTAAACGAATAATATACTTACAGTTCGTGCAAAATAATCTATTCGAATTGTTAAAAGATATTAGGAACTAGGGATTGCATGTGGTTTCAACATGATGGTATTCCTCCGCATAGAGCTGCCATTGTGCGAGACTATTTACATCAAAGATATTCTGAACGCTGGATAGGGTACAACGGTTATATTACATAGCCTCCAAATTCTCCTGATTTGACATCTTGTGATTTCTTTTTATGGGGGTACGTTAAAGAGATTATTTTTGCTACGGAACCGATAACTCCGGTCGATATGAGAAATTGCATCACCAGAACTTTGGCAACTATTCCCGAAGAATTTCTTCAAAGGACTACTATTGCATTGCGTCATAGATTCCGAATGTGTATTGAAGTAAATGGTGATACATTCGAAGAAATGTTATAAGATGTAAATCGTAGAATGTACGAGCGTGTGCAAGCGCGCGTGCGCACGCACGCGCACACACACACACACACATAGCAGTAGAGAAGGTTTGGAGTCATTAAATACTACGAGAGTGACGAACCGTGGAGTCCTTATCTCTGTTGTGACACACACACACACACACACACATACACAAAAGAGGTGTAAATCCGACCGGGCAATTTCCACGTGGTACACCTTGGATAATGCTAATGCCGGCGGTACTGTAACATTCAAACTTTATAACTCGAAAAGTACTTAATGAAAAAATACTTTATTATAATGTTTTGGAAAGCTCTCGAAGTTAGCTACAAGAATATGTAATGAAAAATGAAGGTTCCATTTAAGAAATTGTAGGTGACCTTCACGTGACTTTCAAACGATTATCCACGGTCAAGCCAAATTGCACCATCTTATGTCCTGCTCCGAACCATACAACTTTTGTTTGAAATATTTTTCCGTATCTTCCATATTTTTCGAGATATTTGCCTGGTTCGATTAAAATGATTCACCCTGTATATATTAGGGTAGTTCTTATTTTTCGATTTTCAAATTTTTTCCGCGGCACTCTTTAAAAAGTTTCTATTTGACAAAAAAAATCCCTGCCAAACTTTTGCTCGATTGGATAACAAGAACCTGTGCCCCGGGTCGTTAAACATTAGAGTACCTTGTATTAAGCTGTCTACATTATCAATATGGTTTTTAAAGCGTGTTTTCCACAAAAATCACAATAGACAACTTTTCTCTTTTCTTTCTATATCGTTTGAGATCTTATAGTCTCATTTAAATAAATTAGATAAATTGTTGATTAATCGAAATAATAGAAAGCTCCTCGAATAGATTGTTGATTACTAAAAAATAAAAATAAATAGTTATTACATTTATTGTTTGAGCTATAACAAATCATGTATGGACTATAAAAGTTGCAATAGTATGCTTGAAGGACAATATAATAAGTGTAAAACATAATATCTTTCATGTTTTTATTAATAAACCCATTTTTTAAATTAAATATTACATAATAATTAATAATCTCGTGGTTCCTAATCTTATGCTGGGAGGGGACCATAAATGTATAATACCTAGGCCGCGGGTTCGCAACGTTAGCCATTGTCTGTACGTGTCAAACAATATAAAGAAATAACATTCTTTCGGTAAAAGTCTCTTTTTAACGAAGGCTTTTTTATACTCACCACTTATCGTGGTTTTGTGGCGGGAGTAAAGCAGCCTTCGTTAGAAAGAGACAGACTTTTTACCGAAAGAATGCTATTTCTTTATATTGTTTAACGTGTTCAGACAATGGGAAACGTTGCAAATCTGCCTATTATACAGTTTGTTTGATAAAAACTTTTGCATATAAACAGGTAGACGGAAAATTCAAACAGGAGCCGATAGAGGCACCTTTCGCCTAAGATGCTTTGTTGATAAAGCTTTAGTTGTCATTCGATCTTCGTGATAAAAATATATATTTCACCATGAATGCCAAATACACATCGCGTTTCGAAGTCGTGTTTCTTTGTAAACATCCGAAAGGACCAAAAATGTCACGCCAAGCGGCTGCTAAGTACATAAGAAAGTCAAAAGCATTTGTAAATAAGTGGGTGAATCCTTACTTAGAGGTGAAAAAGGTGACTTACTAAAACGTGGCTCTACGCAGAGATTTGGTACTTTGCATATCTTCACAAACAACTTAAACGTTAGCAAAATGGTCAAAATTTATGAGAAGGCTTTATTACTATCTGCTCAAACATGATTTATAAGGAAAAACGAAAAATGGATACTATAACAGGACAATAATCATCGAAGTCGGCTTTGTACCGCGTGGAAATAAGAAAATAATGTTGAATTACTGGATTGGCCATCACAGTCACCGGATGCAAATCCTATCGAAAACGTTTGGTTCTTGATGAAGTTTAAACTTCGTGGAAAGAAAATTTGGTCGGTTAAGGAATTAGTTCGACAAATTTGATTGATATGGAGATCTTCATCTCAAGAATATGCCATAAAATTAGTTGTAAAATTAGTAGAAAGTATGCCTCTGAGATGCCAGGTAATTATTAATAATGAAGACGACTGGACAAGTTATTAATAATAAAACATCACAGTTCTAATCAAGTAGTATATGTGTATTTTATTCCAAAAATCATTTCATTTCAATAAATTATTTATCAAGTTTTGCCGTATACGCTCTTATCAAACAGACATCTATGGTCCCCTCCCAGCATAAGATTAGAAACCACGAAATTATTAATTATTATGTAATATTTAATTCAAAAAGTTTCTTTATTATGTTTGAAGGACA